GAGAGGTATGAATCACCACACCAACTAAAGCTTTGTTTGACAAATTACTCTATAAGTAGGGGTTATCCAACTAAGTTCAAGAAATGTGATAGTGTAAGGCTCGTGGCTGTATGTGCAAGTGACCCTGAGAAATTTTAATGTCCCTTTGTTGTAAGGGCCTCATGTATGAGCACTGAAAGATCATTCCAAATCAAAAAAATGGTTGAATAACATACCTATGTTTGGAATTTCCGTAGTGCTAATCTTATGGATCCCACATGGATAGCTAGGCAGTTTCTAAAGGAGATGATTAGGAAACCAAATCTGAAATGTAAGGAAATGTAAGCTATTATTCAAAGCAGGTTCCATTGCAAGGTTTCATGGTCAAAATGTTATAGAGAAAAGTGTAGGGCAATTTCTTTAATAGATGGAAAGTTGAGTGATCACTATGCAAAAGTTTGGGATTATGGACATGAACTGATGAGGTCCAATCCAGGGAGTACAACTCAAATATCTATCACTGTAAACCCTGATAACACTACTACTTTCCATACAATGTATACATGTTTTAAGGCTATCAAAGAAGGATGGAAAGTTGGTTGTCGAAGAGTTATAGGGCTTGATGGGAGTTTTTTGAAAGGAAAATGTAAAGGTGAGCTACTAAGTGCCATAGGGAAGGATGCAAATAACCATGTGTATCCCATTTCTTGGGTAGTAGTTGAAATTGAGAACAAGCCCAATGAGCAATGGTTCTTGGAACTATTACATGATGACCTGGAATTACAAGGAGGCTTGGATTTATGTGTTATTTCTGATCAACACAAGGTAATGTTTTCAATTATCTCCTTTTTACATTTCATTTATACATGGATCAAGCAGTTAGTAATGAAAATTTTTTAATGTAATTGATAGGGTCTTTTGGAAGCTGTAAAGGTTGTATTGCCACATGTGGAGCACAGATAATGTGCAAGACATGTGTATGCAATTTTCAGAAAGGTCTTCAATGGTATAGAGTTCAAGAATATGTTTTGGACAGTTGCCAAGTCAACTGTTGAAGGAGACTTCAAATTGAATATGGAGAAGATCAGAGAAGTCAATCTTGCTGCTTATGATCATTTGATGGCAAGGGAGCCTAAATCTTGGTGCATCACATTTTTTTAAAGGTGGAATGGCATATGAGGCTGTTGAAAATGGAATGGCAGAGTGTTTTAATGCCATCATACTTGATGCCAGAAAGAAGCCTTTGTTGGCCATGCTTGAGGAGATTAGACTATATATGATGGAAAGGTTAGTTAACTTGAAGCAAGAAGCATGTAAATGGGTGAATAATGTGTGCCCAGGAGCTATTAAGAAAATAGATGAGTTTTCTTTTGATATCAAGTAAGTATTATAAAATCAAGACAATGTATGAGTTTAGTATTGAGACTCAATATGTATACTAATTAAAACTGTTAATGTGTTTGCAGGAGTTGGTATGTTCATCCTAGTGGTTTGAAGGCTTTTGAAGTGAGAAATGGCTTCCACTCATATGGAGTGAACTTAGAGGGGATGTACTGTACATGCAGACTTTGGGAGTTATCTGGGATCCCCGATGTCCATGCCCAAGCAACCATAATTTACACACAACAGGATCCAGCTAGATTCATCAGCACATGATTTGGTAAGTACAAGTTCTTAGCTACTTATGAGTCTAACATCCTTCCTGTTAATGGCAGTAATATCTTACACCAAACCACTACCACCTATTGAAAGAAGGATGCCAGGAAGGCCTTGTATGAAAAGGAAAAGGCATCTCTTTGAGCATCAAGATAGGTTTTCCCAAGACTCCTCTAAGGGTAGAAATGTCCAATGTCAGAATTATATGCAAATGGGGCACAATAAACTGTCTTGCAAGAATCCCTCAGTCCAACCAACACCAAAGCCTAAGAAGAAAATAGGAAGGCTAAGGTTGAATCCTGAATTGACCAATTGCACTATACTTGGGAGAGGTGGTGGAAGAGGTGGTAGAAGATGTGGAAGAGATGGAAGAGGTGGTGGAAGAGGTGGTAGAAGAGGAGGTAGAAGTGGTGGAAGAGGGTCTACCAGTGTTTATGAAGAAGGTGAAAGTTCTGGGAAAAAAGAACCTGGGATTGAGACTCAATTTTTCACCCAAACAACACCTAATGTTGAGAGTCAATTTGTCACCCAAACAACACCTACTATTGGCAGTGAACATGTACCAGAAACATAGGAAGCAGATGTTAACATTGATGATGAAGGTGATGGTCTTGATGTGACAACCCGAAATTTCCATTCTTTACAAACCATATCAAGTCAGTAGAAGTTAGAATGGTTACAGTGAATTTCCAGACTTTTGGGTATATGTTTGAGTATTACAGGATTTACACTTAAGGAGATATCTGGAGAGTGGATGCACTAGGGTTTTGTGCAACTCCGTTATTCCAAAGCTCATTGATATTAGAATTCAATGCCTGAATAAAAATATTTTCTGCCAAAAATCCCAGGACTATATATAGGATTCTGAACCATATTTATTCATTAGTTACATTTCCAACTAGAGAAAATCCATTTTCTCTCTCGCGGATCTCCGGGTTTTCATCCCAAATCGTGAGTATTTCTATCTAGTTGTATTATATAGCTTATATTGTGTTTAATAACATCAAAATCAAATCAAAACAGCAAGATTCGAGAGTTTACCGCCCAAGAACACCTTGGGGAGTAAACTCTTTTATAAGGGCCAAAGTGTGCCCAATGTCCCTCCAAACCTTGGAACTGAACCTAGAAGCTACCCATGGCTTGTTCAGATATCAAAAACATTAAGAATCAAGGGCTAAAAGTGAGTTCACTGCCAAGGAAGTTCTTGAGCCGTGAACTCCATTTTAAGTTGCCAAAATGCCCTCAATGCCTTCATTGAGACAAGAGACTAGAATATCACATTAACTTGATGTGTCTAGGACCCAAAACAATCAAAATACCAACACCCATAGGTGTTCACGGCTGCAAACACATGACCAAATGGTCCATGGGCCATAAACTCAAGTTAGGGGTGTTTTGATGCCACAAACACTTTCTAAGGCTTAGGATTGAATTTAGAATGCTTCCTTATGACCTTTAGGAACATAAATGGCCATGGACAGTAAACTCATAAGGGTCGTGAACTCCTCAAGGGAGTTAAAAAGAAGCCCTAACACTCTAGTAAGCCTTGAAGCACTTCACCACTTAAGTTGTAATAGCTTTAAGCTTCATTTAGTGCCCCAATAGAGACTTTACGGCCAGGAGTTTACTCCCCTAGGCCGTAAACTCCAACACACATGGTCTTTAGACCATAAACTCCCGTAAGAGGTCTTACACTCCTTTGTTGCAACCCATTAGCCTCCTAGCACTCGACCAAAGTGTTTTCCTCGCATTAGGATGTTTATACATGTTTAATTAGTGTTATAATCTTTAATTGTTTATATACATATGTCTTCATATGTAATTAGTACCAATGTGTGTGTCTAAAGTCTTCACTTGTCACCTAGCAGTCCTACCTCTTCAATTCATTAGTACCACTCACAACAGGTGAGTTCATACCCCTTAATCAATCTTTTAAATGTTTTTAAATACTTTATGGGGGGGGATAAAAGTAGAATCATGCTACTTATTATATCAATCACATGTGATTAGTAAGCAACATTCTAATGATTGGCTACTTATTAGCCGTTTTACCAAACAGTTTCTTTCAAATGTTTTTCATAAACACTTTATATGTTTAAAACTCCTTATTGAGCTGTACATTTTACTTTGTATGTTTCATTTCAAACTCATTTACAATTGTGTTTCAAACAAATGTTTCTTAATACTTAAACTGTTTTATCAAACCCATGCTTTCAACCCGTTTTATAGATTGACAACAAGTCAATCTTTTCTTAGATAATAATTATGTTCAAAGGTTATACAAAACTTACTTTATGCTTTTATATTATAAATTGCATGCCTATATATGTATAGTTATATGAGGAATGTTTAAAAGACTTAGGAAGGCTATCCACCCTATTTCCTTTTCGCGCTTGAGATGTGGTCTGGTGGGATTTCGGGTATCCGTCCGAAGGTCCTTTAAATATTAGTTATATATCATGTGTACATATATAGTCATAAAGGTCCTTCCAGTTCATCAAATTCCCTTGGGTAGCAAGGGTATACATCCATGTTCATACGAACCAGTTAAATTACTAGTAAGCTACCATATGGGTAGTTTAGGAAGATACTAGAACTATTACTAGAACGCGATATCATACAATAAGTCAGTTCATTCATGAGTTGATACATGCTAGAAGAAGAACATATACAACTATACTAGAAAGAGAACATATACAACTATACTAGAAAGAGAACATATGCAACTATACTAGAAAAAGAACATATACAACTATACTATAAAGAGAACATATGCAACTATACTTGAAAGAGAACATATACAATGATACTAAAGCGAGTAACAATACATTACATATACACGAATACGTTAACATAATTGTGATCCACTGTATTGGAGCATGCCTTCAATGTCATGGCCCAATTTGTAGCCAGAGTCTCTTGGAGGGAGAGCGTGAGTTTGCGTATAGATCTATACTGGATTGACTATCCTACACCTTGCTGCTAGCTACAGCCGGACCTGCAGGTCTACGGGTGCCAAACGTCATACCTTTTTACGACCTACATCGTCGTGTTACCTAGTCGATAGTATGGTACAATTAATCACATAATACCTTAATATAAATCCGGTTTAAGGTAGTTAGTACAGCAGTAGTTCCTATAATACAACACTACAGTACTACATTAATTTACCCTTTACATATAGTTAGTGATCATTTCACTTAAACATTATTGTACAAACTATATTTTGTTAATGATAGTTACACTTGGGAAAATTACACACTTTTATAAGAAACGAACAAATAAAACAGTTAGGTCTTAGTATTTCAAACGTTTACAGTTGTTTTACAAACATTCTCATACGTACAAATTAAGACACATTAATACTTATGATCTCACCAGCTTTAAAGCTAATACTCTCTTTCAAAATAATTTGTATCCTCAGGTCAATAGTAGACAGGTACCGATGCAAGGTTTAGAGAAGATGGAGCTCGTTCAAGACTCATCTTTCATTTTGTTTATACTTTAGTGTCTATGATAATTTGGCAGAACACTTGTATTAAAATTATATTATTAATGCAATGGATGATGTTGTTGCTTGTTTACTACTTTTCATTGTTGTGATACTGGACATGACGTCCTCTGCCCTAGAACGTTTCCTCCGTTCTTTGTTTTGGGGTGTGACACTTGATATGGCTGATCTGGATCAAATAATGAGTGATTTGAGTTACCTTAGAGAGTCAAAATACAGTGAAGCAGAGATGTTTTTGTGTCTTAATATCACCCAATCACAACTAAAAGGATTTGATGCTTTGATTCACCAATCCGAACAAGATGCAAAGGTATATATTATAACATTGATAGTGAATTTTATTTTTCAATAACATAACTAACTTGTCTTATTTCCCATGCAAGGATGTGCCTTTTGTGAGTGAACATGTACTAGAAACACAAGAGGACAATGGTGAAGATGGAGCTGAAGAATCACAGGAGGACAATGATGAAGATGGAGCTGAAGAATCACAGGAGGACAATGATGAAGATGGAGCTGAGGATGATGAAGAGGGAGTTGATGATACTCAAGTTAGGGTTAGAACTCAAGTCAGTGTTAGAACAAGAAAAACTTCTGAAAGGATCACTGAAAACATGTTGAAGAAAATTGTGATCGACAAGAAAGGAATAGGAATGGCTCTAGATAAACCTCTTGCTTTGGATTAGATTGGTTAGGATTTAAGCGGTTATATGGGCTACTTGGGCAAATTTGTTAAGAATCCCTTTTTGGTAAATTTGTTAATATGCCCTTTCTTTTGTAAACAATATACAATATGGCTGCATTGTTAACACTTTAGGACTTTAGATTGGTTAGGATTTAAGTAGTTATATGGGCTATTTGGGCAAATTTGTTAGGAAGCCCTTTTTGGTAAATTTGTTAATAGGGATATGCCCTTTCTTTTGTAAACACTTTGGCTAATTTTGGTATGTTTTGTTGATGTATAACTTACATCCATTTTGTTCATTATGTTATATTGAAAAACATCCTTCAGTTGCTCACATCATACACTTACAATTGTACATTGCTCAAACAGTAGGTATCCATAACACCATTTTGTTGGATTAGTGTCTAAGCCCATAACCATATTTGTTAAGTACTTGACCCGGTTGTGCATGGTCCTTTTGGGTTGCCTTCAAACCTAGCAGTGGAATAGGATAATTGTTGGAGAGAGAAGAATGATTTATTAATTTATTACTTGGTTAATAAATTAATTTGAAATCAAGATAAATGATTTATTAATTTATTATGGATATAATATATTGATTAGAAATCATTTTGTTTAATTAATATTTAATTATAAATTAATTTGGAATTAATTTTAGGATTAAAGGAATTAAATGAAACTACAGGGACTAAAGGTGACAATGTTCAAAAGTTGAGCATTGAAGCATTCTAGAACCTCCCTTAGAGGTGGGGAACAAAATCTAGAGTGTCCTAGGGTTTCCTTGGGCTCTAAGGGTGCCTTGGAAGCCTTAGGGAGGAAGTTAAGGGATTAGGGTTATCTAAGATACACCTGCCTTATTCTAAACCTTCCTTATCACATATATAAACCCCTATAGGGTTGGATTTCGTCTAAGGCACTCCAAGAGAGGCTTAGAGCCGAATTTTTCACTTCCCTTCTCTCTCCATAGTAATCCTTGGTTTCTAGGTTTGTTTGTGAGCCATTAAAGGCTCGACACTTGTGGCGCTTGCTTTCAAAGACAAGAAGATTCAAGATTTAAGTTGTTATTACAGTATAACAACAAGCAGTATGTATTTCATCTTTTTTTTGTGAATTTTGAAATCCCTAGAAGATTTTTAGGGTTCTTCACATGTTCATAATGTTGTATAACTAATAGTGATAACATAGATCCAACTCTAGGGTTGCGTGCACACATAGGATTGTTTGTATAAAACTCATCAGTGGTATCAGAGCCATTGGTTTTTGTTTTCAATTAGCATTATACAAATGTATGAACTTGAAAAATTAGGGTTTATAGCCAATAAACCCTAAGAGGCATGAATTTTCGAAATTAGGGTTCTTGAACCTTGATTTACGAAAATTGGTTAGGGTTTCCTAATCCCTTTCCTTAGCCTCGAAGATTTTGAAATTGGTTAGGGTTTCCCAAACCCTTTCCTTAGCCTCCAAGTTTTCGAATTCTAGGGTTATCCAACCCTTGAATTTCGAAATTTGCCTGCTTCCCCAAGATACGATCCTATTTTTTAGGGATTTTCATAAATGACATATCTTATAATTATCTTTTAAGTGTTTAAATGTGGTAATTAAAGATTTTGAATTATCATATCCCATAATTTCGAATTTTAGGGGATTTAAGGGAGTAGGTTAAATTAATTGTTTAATTTAAAAGATATCCTTACCAAAATAGAAGATAATTGTCAAATTAATTAGATAATCATTGACTTATGTGATAAACTTGATTTATTTGAATTATTTGATAGATTATCTTGCAAGAAATTGAATTAGAACATATTTAGATAATTACTAATTAATTGGTTAATTATTATTATTTGTAATTTGATCTAGAACGTTCTTGCTTATGTTTTGAAAAGTTTCAAAACTTGCCCTCAAGTTTTGGAATTAAATTTTTATTAAAAGTTTAATTTGAAAATGTTGATTCTAAAACCCTAGTTTTGAAAAGTTCAAATTTCACCCTTTTGGTTTTATTAAGTTAATTAAAAGTATAATTAAAAGAAAGTTAATAAATCCATCATCATTTGGTTTATATTTTGTTAACTTAAAAGTGTAATTTATAAAATTAAACCACCTAGTATTTTAAAAGTGTAAAATACACCCTTATACTAAGTATAACATTAAAAGTCTAATATTATATATGTATAACTTAAATGCTAGTCTTACCGTTAGTAGGCCTCATTCACGAAGCTGATCTATAAGGGGAGTATAACGTTATGGCCTATAAAATGGCCATTTGATGGGGGCCCACTCTCACCCACCGCTTCCTTGATTGGTGGAGGGTCGTTAGCCAAACGGGTAGGATAGGGCAAACCCTCTCCTCATTAAAAGTATAATGAACAAATAAAGTAGCTAAATGTTTTACAAAATTCCCAATCTTAGTTACTTTATGCAAAAATGAATTGATGCAATTCCATGAAATTACACTTTGTACCCTTGCTAAGATGTTAGTGGAGCGTGTGTGGTTAACCGAAATACTAATTGGGTTCTGTGCAAAGGTGGCAAAGGGTGACTCGATGGCTGTCATAGGTCGATGGAGCGTGTGTGGTTAACCGGCACATCGAATAGGTGACTGTAACATTCGGGGCACCATGTATATTTGCATGGTTATTTATACCCTTTTTTGTGATCCTCGGCATCTCAATCACAAATCAAGGTGCATATCGAGATTTAAACATCCATTGAAAAGTTCAATGAATCTCAAAACACTACAAGAAAAATAGCCTTTAATGACGCGCAAAATATGACACTCGCTAATTCACGTTACGCATTGTTGGGCGACCTTAAAAATAATGTCAGACTTCCAAAATTTGAAGGATAGTGGACACGCATTTTTGCGTGCACTTAAATTAGTGTCTCAAGAAAAAAAAAACACGGAGGGCGCTTTGTCTTACACGTGCGTCTTTTGTAGGTGTCGCTTTATAATTTTAGTGAAACGCGCCTTGAAAAGATAAAGGGGGAAAACGAAACCCTAAAATTTTGAAAACCCGCCATTCTTTTCTACCTTCTTTTCTTCATCTTCACAATCGACTCGCCCCTTTTTGTTTGTCTATGTGAGAAGTGACAAAAAGAAGGGAGACTAGGATGGATTTGCCGGTGATGATGAATGAAGGTGCTTTCCGTTCAATTTCAGAGATGGCATTGTCGATTTCGATGGTTGTTTCCATCTTCCCTAATCACGTCGTCGCCGAGAATCACACACCGCCAGGTAGTAGAAGAAGATGATGAAGTTTGTCGTTGTCGTATGCCGCCCTCCCTCGCTGTCTCTAACTATCTTTTCCCTTTCTTTATTCTTCGCTTCGATGATCGTCTCATCTTCCTTCATCTTCTTGGTTTTCCATCAGGTAATATTCGGGTTCGCTCGTGATGCTGAACTTCATAAAAGAGTTCTTCTCCGGTCTTAGCATCTTCCTGGGTAGCTGAACTTCTGTCATCGCTTGGGATCGATCTCAGCCTCCTATTCATTCCTCTACAGCCTTACATGTAAGTCCACACCACACTTGTTCTTATCTTGTTCTGGAAAATCAAGAAACATTCGAAAAACCTTAAGGTTTCGCTTCTTATCATCGGTGAGGTCGCGTTTCTTCTTATCAGTACTAGGGTCTCGTTTCTTTTCATGGGCGACGCCTCATTTTTTCTTATTAGTATCGGATTTCTTCTTGGCTGAGGGGCCAGATTGACGAGAAATTATTAATGCCCTTAAACTGTTCGACAAATTGCTTATCATTTTGTGTGCGTCTATCTGTCTAAGAAATTAAACAATACGCATACACAATTACACACTATCCTAATTTCATAATTTGACTGATTTCCTATCCTAATCTGATAATCTCTCTCCTTTCTGAAACACGAAAGATCTCTTTCAGGTCTTGGAACCAAACGGGTCAGCTTAATTGGGCTTGGAAAAGCCCCAATAACTTCATCTTCTTCCATTTCTGCTTATCGAAGTCTTGGTGAATCTGTTGCTTCATCTGCTAAAACTTCTCAAGCTAACAATGTCGTTGTTGCTCTTGCTTCTTCAGAAGACTTAACTCTTGAATTGAAGCTTACAACTGCCTCAACAATAGTAACTGGTATATTCCATTCAATATTCCATTCAAGAAATAACAACCTGAATGCTCAAATTTTGATCTAAGTATTGCTTACAGATTCATACTATACTAAGATGATTATGGTGAGATATAAAATAGTTTTTTTGGTCATATTAAGGTTATTAAAAAAGTTAGCACCAATCTTTTTTTTCTATAGAATTATAGTGTTATCTTTTGTTTAATTGTTCGGTTGCAACACTGCTTATACAGCAGTACAAGCTTCTGCTAATAAGGCTTCAAGATGCCTTTAGAAATAGCAAAGATAGCCATTTGAAGGATTTTACCTCCAAAAATCCTTATACAACAGCACAAGCTTCTGTTAATAAGTCTTCTCCTGAGATGCCTTCATCTTCTAACAACTCAAATCACAATGTTCAACAAGCCGATGGCTCAACATACACAGAGCATGTTTGCTCATGGGTAATTTTGGGAAAAGATCTTGTAAATGCACCTCGCAATGTACTTACCCCTGGTTCGTTATCCTTCTCATTTTCAATTGTTGATAGAGACATAAAGTTAAAATATAGTTTTTCATTTTTCTTTTTTAATAATTGTAACAGGGTTATTAGCGGAAGAAGCTGAAAAGATTGCTTCAACAATCGATTGTGATAAGTTATCTGATATAGGGTTTGGGACAACGGATTGTTTGGGACATGTTGCCCTTGTAACCGAGCTCATGAAGAAGACAAAGCCAAAACTTAAATCCAGTGTGGTTGCTGTTTTCATAGCCAGTGGAGACATATTTGGAATTCTTCTTCCATTTAGTGTGTCTGGCAGTGGTAGTTGGAAGAGTGTTGGTCTCTCCTTTGGGAACTTCCTGACTTTTTGTTTATGAAGTTCCCAAGAAAATTGTAGATTTGGAGGGTTTGAGTGTCTCCATAATGGAATGTTAATAAGAGTCTTGGATGAGTCCATCGTCAGCAGCAAACACAAAGTCCTTTTCCATGTCTTGAGCAGATTCCATACCAGTCTTTGTGAATTGGTCCAAAGACTTCTCACAATGGATGGAAAGCTCAATGAGTTTATCCGTGGTCTGGACCCTCTCTTCCTCTTCCCTCTTTTGTTGCTCCTCATACAACATTCCCACTAATTCCTTTCGCTCCTCTTCTTTCTTTTCCTCAGCCTCTCTTA